CTGTGCTGCCCGACCCGTCCTGTCTGGTGAGACCGTCAACTGCTGTCATGGCTACCCCCAGTGTCCTTGCTTTTGACGCTGAGGGCCGCGCCATTGACTTTGAGGTCTGGGTCGACGACCTGCAGCTGTTCTTGCAGTGCGATAGGGTAGACGACCTTTCTCTCTTTGACCGTACATCTGGTGCCGTCCCTGCCCCTGCTGCTGATGCTGACCCCACTGTTCGCTCCAAGTGGGCCACACGCGATGCTGCTGCACGTCTTGCTGTGCGTCGCCACCTGCCTACCGCTGAGCGTGCACACTTTAGTCAGTACAAGAGTGCCCAGACCTTGTACGACGCTGTAGTTGCGCGCTACTCCTCCCCTGCCACTGCTGCACTGAGCCGCCTCATGCTCCCCTTCCTCTTCCCTGACCTTGCCGCCTTTCCCACTGTCGCTGATCTCATTACGCACCTCCGCACAAGTGACACCCGCTACCGCGCTGCGCTTCCTGCTGACTTCTGCGCCAAGAACCCTCCCCCCATGTACATCACTCTCTACTTTCTAGTCACTCGTCTCCCTGACTCCCTTCGTGTAGTCCGGGACCACTTTCTCGCGGTCTGTCCCACCACTCTCACAGTCGACAGCCTCGAGAAGGCCCTCCTAGCGGCGGAGAAGAGCATCGTCGCTGTAGGAGCCTCTCGAGGTGACCCCCGCGCCCCCATTTTTTAGGGGTGTTTTCCTTCCCCTCTCTTGCCCTCTGTAGCCTGTGCCGCTGCGGCCGACCTCGTTGGTCTTGAGTCAGTCGGTGCGGCGTCTGCCCCTAGCGGGAGACGCTGCTCTAGCAAGGGCAAGGGGGGCAAGGGAGCGGGTGGGGCCAGCGGGGGCGGTGGAGGTGGAGGTGGAGGCGGCGGAGGGAGTGGGGGTGGCGGTGGAGGTGGTGGCGGGGGTGGGGGTGCTAGTGGCGGCAGTGGAGGCGGAGGTGGCGGAGGCGGTGGCGGTGGGAGCGGAGGTGGCAGAGGCGGTGGCGGTGGTGGAGGAGGCGGGGGCGGCGGTGGTGGTGGTCGGAGTGGCGCTTCGCAACGGAGCAGCACTGGAGGTGGTCAGCGCCGGCAGCAGCAGCAGCAGCAGCGTTCTCGCGACGTCCCCACCCCTCAGCAGCTCCGTGAGTGGTACACGCAGCGTCAGCGGGGTGGGAGTTTTGGTCCTTGCACCTACGTTCTTCGCACTAGCGACCGCGCCGTAGAGCAGTGTGGGGGTACCCACTCCGCCCAGCGCTGCTTTGGCCGCCTGACGGACGCTTGGCGCCAGCAGTTCCCGGAGGCCGCGGAGATCCCCCGCTGGGGAGAGCTGTCTAGGGCTGGTGTAGCTATTTTTGATCTTGACTTTGATGCTATCCTTGCTGCTATGTATGCTGTGACCATTAGTGATGAGGGTGACTGTTACCGGTGTTTCCCGCCCGACCCGGGCATTGAGGCTGCTGCTCTAGGTGCGAGTGCGTCTGTGCTCTCATGTACTGGTGAGGCTGCTCTCTCAGGTACTAGTGAGTCCGCGCTCTCAGGTACTGCGTCGGCCTCTGCCTCCCACACCTTCACCCTTCACTCTGGGGCGTCTTGCTCCTTCTTTCGGGACCGCACCACACTCACGCCACTAAGTCGGCCGGTTGCGGTGTCCTTGGCTGACCCCTCTGGGGGTCCTGTCCTGTCTCGCTTCTCCACAGTCCTTCCGTGTCCGGCGGCTCCCTCTGGCACCCTGTCTGGTCTCTACCTCCCCTCGTTCTCTACAAACTTGGTGAGTGGTGCTGACCTACAGGATGCGGGAGTCCACCAGTTCACCCCTGCTCGTCAGCGAGTGACGCACTGCACAGAGGCTAGCACAGGTCGTCACCTGGCTACGTTTACACGTCAGCCAGGGTCGAGCCTTTACACACCGACCACTCCTTCTCCTCCAGTTCCTGAGTCTGGTAGGGTCCCTTCGTCCGGTCAGGTGTTTGCTGCAGCGTCCAGGTCTGGTCCTGAGTCCGCCCCCTGTTCGTGTCGTCGCCTGTCTCACGAGACTCTCCTCTGGCACCACCGCCTGGGTCACCCCTCTCTGCTTCGGCTCAGAGGCATGGCCTCCCGTCTCCTTGTCTCTGGTCTCCCCAGGTCCCTCCCTCCCCTTCCTCAGGGCCCTGGCCCTGCGTGTGTCCCCTGTGTCGAGGGACGCCAGCGTGCTGCCCCTCACTCCTCCCAGTTTCCTCCGACAGAGGCTCCGTTGCAGACGCTTCACATGGACGTGTGGGGCCCTGCCCGAGTCCGTGGACTGGGTCACGAGCGCTACTTCCTGTTGGTGGTTGACGACTACTCGCGTTACACCGCAGTCTTCCCCTTGCGCACCAAGGGTGATGTCACTGAGGTGCTGATCGAGTGGATCCGCGCAGTTCGTCTCCAGCTCAGGCAGAGCTTTGGCTCGGACTTTCCTGTGTTGCGTCTGCACTCGGACAGAGGCGGAGAGTTCTCCTCCGGCCTTCTGCGTGCCTACTGTCGTGCGCGAGGCATCCGTCAGACCTTCACGCTTCCGGACTCACCGCAGCAAAATGGGATTGCAGAGCGCCGCATTGGCATGGTCATGGACGTCGCTCGTACGTCTATGATGCATGCGGCTGCCCCCCATTTTCTGTGGCCGTTTGCGGTCAGGTACGCAGCGCATCAGATCAACCTCCACCCCAGGGTCTCCCGGCCGGAGACCTCCCCAGCCCTGCTGTGGACGGGGAAGGTTGGCGATGCGTCGACGTTCCGGGTCTGGGGATCTCGGGCGTTTGTCCGCGACTTGTCTGCGGACAAGCTGTCCCCTCGCGCTGCTCCCTGCGTCTTCCTGGGGTTCCCCCCTGACGCCCCTGGGTGGCAGTTCTACCACCCCACCTCTCGCCGTGTTTTGTCCTCCCAGGACGTCACGTTCGACGAGTCCGTCCCCTTCTACCGCCTCTTCCCCTACCGCACTCCTTCCCTCCCGCCGCCACCGCACTTGAGCTGGTATGAAAACTGCGCCGGAGTTGCTGACAAGGAGCACGTTGGCTTGCGGGCAGCCCTAACGGTCGGTCATCATGTCCGACAACACGGTGACCCAATCCCGCTTCCAGCTCCCGACAATGGGGGCGAGCGTGACCTCCATTTTGTGCCGCACTTTCTTCAAGCCCGCCCCTCCAATGAAGCGCCTCTTGGGGGGAACATACCCTTGTTCAGCGCACGCAATGCACTGGACCGCGTAGCGGAAGACCAGGTCATCCGCGATGCGCTGCGGAAGTTTCAGCGTCACGAACATAAGGCTGCGGGTGTATCCGCGTCCTTCTTGGCGCACGTCGCCTCATCACTGAAGAAGTCTGTTATCTTCCCCTTCTTTTCCAAAGAACCAGTGAGCGTGCCCAGCGCAGAGTCAAGTACTGCAGTGGCCCTCGTTTAGAGCCTTTTTTTCCCCCCTTCTCCACCTACATGGCGCGCACTTTTTCACTGACTATGGGGACACCTTCTTGCAAAGCCTGACAACGCGTTTCTCCTACCCTTTCCATTTGGGGAGGTGAACTGCGCAGCGAATGGTCTTGCCCTCAAACTAGAAGTCACAAAACTTACACATCATGGGAGTGCCTTTGGCGTGTTACGGAATAAGAAAATGTTTCAAAGTGGGGTTCGAAAGGCCAGCCTCAACAGGCTCCTTGTTGATTTTACGACTAGACGTGTGAACAGAGGCTACATTGCTCATCGCAGTAGGAAGGGTGGAGTTTGACGCCATGGCGTGCGACTAGTGAACGGTAGACTACCTGAGGAAAAATGGGAGAAGAGAGCTGCGGGAATGAAATTGAGAAGGAGAATCGACTGAAACATAGGAACTCGTCAACCATGACATGTTCAGACGATATGTGGTGAACATTTGAGAGGGTGGTTGGATACGAGAGGTTTGGTCGGGTGGTGTTTGGTTGGGGTGGTTGGAGGTTTGGATTCTGAAATTTGAATTTCATAAGTCGGTTGGCGATGATCGCGATCACGATAACAATTTGCGAGGTCGCAAAACCGTTGCAAGTCGGTTTTGATTAAAAAAAAAAAGGGCTGTCCGGGAGTAATTTCACGATTCCCGAGCGTATTAGCGTACCATGCACATACGCAAGCATATGTACATGGTACGCTGTTGTGTGATGCAATCATATGCATTCACGTCTGACTGCCTCCCATCATGTGTTTGTGCGTTGCATGCGTTGGAAAGGCAGTGGTGAGGTGGATGGCATGGGTTGGAAAGTGACAAAGGTCAAAGTTTGTTGCCTATGGGGAAGGGAATTGTGTGGCATGGGGTTTCCTTGGTTGGGGACTCTCTCTTGGGACCTTCCCTCTCGTCCTCCTCTTCCCCTCCTACCAGGTTTAGTGCTACTCTAATGTTCTTTTCTGGGACTTGTGAGTTAATTGTGATTGAGTTAAATTTCTGTGGCAGCATACCCCCTAGTGCGCCGAAAAGCATAACTCGAGATATGCTTCATTTTTTGATACGCTTCAAATTGGGAAATGTAGCCACGGTCTAGGGCTACAACATATTCGAATTTCGTGGGATTCTAAAAGTGCACCATACGTCGACAACGTTTCTTGTGAAGTCGACGTTTCTGTCCAGAAATTGAGACCAACAATTTTGAGAAATTTGGGCACCTAATCTTCATAGACTCCGTCCTTAGTCTCTAACATACGCCACCCTGCCCAAGGTGTATCTGCCAATGTAGAGGCAGACCACGTGCCTCATGATATTTGCACACATTTTGCAAAAACATTTGTAACGTCGCTATAATTTTCCTGTATAGTTCCATAAGCACAAGGTACAGCGACTGGACTGCCCCATCCTATTTGAACATTGCCACCATTTTCTTTACCGGATGGTCCATATACCTGTTTGAAGAGTCCTCACCTCATGACTGGGGTTTTCCACTTTCATTCTCACCCTTGACTACCTTCCGTGAGTTCAGGCGTAATTAGCAGCTATTTAATCATCCAGCCAATCATCCCACCCACAACTATGCTCACCAAGGGGACACTGAAGGAGATGGGAGGGAAGTTCACCACAACTCCGGTGACACAGTTTGTGTACGAGGCAGGGCAGACAGCGTCGGGGCATGGAGTGCAACTGGCCTTCCAGGTCAACTTCACCTTCACGCTCTCGCCCCGGTCGGGCCGCACGTGTGGCGGAGGATTTGCCTTTGTCATCTCGGCAACGGATAAGCTGGGGAGTGGATCCAGTGTGGGGTATAGTGGAATGGACAGCCAGAGCATAGCAGTTGAATTCGACACTCTGCGGGACAAGCAGCGTTGAACATTCAAGGCCAGGCTAGGTCGGTAGCTGCTGTGAAGGCACCATTTTCTTTGAACAACAAGAAGCCGTACACGGCAGGGGTGGACTACGATCCTAGGGATCCCGGCACCATCCATGTGTTCCTGGCTGCTACGGAGGTGAAGCCAGAGCTGCCGCTGCTGGAGAGGAGGCTGGCTCTGTGTGAGGTGCTGCAGGCTCGAGCGGAGTAGCAGAAATTCTTCTTTGGTTTGTGGTAGCCACTGTGAAGCCGTTCCAGATGCATGTCATCCTCACGTCGGCAGTGCACACAGGTAATGACAGCCCTGTGGTGGTCCAATGATGGTAGTTATGATGGTGCTGGTGCTGGTGCAGCTGGCGGCGGCGGCGACCGCGGTGGCGGTGGCGGTCGTGATAGGCTGATGCTGATTGAGATTATCACATGCATTGGTGCTATCATCCCAGTAGCTTAAACCTGTTCATTCAGCTGCCTCAAGGATAGTTCATGGTGTCTAATATACAGTGCCACAATTGAAACTATATGAAATTGTTCAGCCCATTGAATGCTTGTTATCTCGCTATGCTCTCGACCATTTCCCATAACTTTATGGTGCTGCTCATGTGTGCCAATTTTTCAGGTCTTCCTGCTATACACAATCCAGTGGGTATCATTCCAGGTGAGCAGCCTACTTTTCTATTGCATCAACGACAAACAAACTACTCGTTGTCCATTAATCTCTCCCTCCGTGTTCCTCTTCTAAGAACCCTGGTGTCTGTATGTTACACAGAATTCATGCACTCTGTTCCCCAATCTTTCTCTCCAATGTACTGATTTGATTGAGCACGTGTATGTACTGTTAGTCTTAAAACGTACTAAGCTAGCTACTAACAAGCTTTAGGTGGCACTAGAACTCTCTCCTCGGGGTCACCTCCGAGGGTCCTTGGGTGCCTGACCAAGGTCAGCCCCTATCCAAGGGTCCGAGTGTGTAGAGAGAGAGTCGTAGCAACAGCTAAAGTGTAGTAGCAATCGTCGATTCCTTGGCGTTGTCAAGAGAATTAACTATAGCAGCTTACTTGCAGCAGGCACAGAAGAAATCCTTCACTAAAGTTATATTTTGGAACAACAAGAACAACTAGTTTTATACTAAGCTAAATCATTCTACTCCTACCTTGATCTAGGTGTTCCAAATTCACACCTCGTAGCGCGAGCAGATTTTCACGTTCCCTCCCATTCTCTTCGTGACCTGGTGCGCACTCGATGCGATACCGAAATATTTCGTCTTTCGCGCGCGAACATTGTTGACGGTGCCGATCTGATAAGTTCACTTCGCGCCAATCTCGAACGGTTGCAATGAAGTCCGTTTAAAACCTGAACGAGTCGACATGTCGGTGGCGATCAGCATTGCGTTCGATCGCTCAACTGCTGCTCGCCACGTGCCCTCGCTCCAAACTTTCTTTTGATCTGAACTGTCAGTTCTGCTAATAAACGTGAGCAACCGAACTTACTCGAGATCTCGATGATCTACCCTCCTGCGCTAAAGAACGATTCGCGAGCATATAGCGCTCGCGCTACCGAGCACGCTAATTAACACGCTAATGAACATGCTAATTAACACGCTAATGAACACACTCACGAACACGCTAACGAACACACTAATAACACGCTCACAAACACGCTAACGAATACGTCGCACTAGCAAGGACCAATCTCGCTCCTCGAACAGTGGCAACGCGAGCAGCTTCTCGCTCGAACTCATGAGCAACTGCCATTTCAAACGACAGCCCTTCAGAACCTCCAAGACAGCTCACTCAAAAACAAAAAAACGTCGGACTCGCTCCTTGAACACCACCAGCCGCTCCCATTGGTCAAGACCAGCCTATACTTCACCTTGGTTGTACTAGACTCGCCGCTCCATTCAGGTGCAGTTACAATACCTGAATCATAACCTTGAATTGGCAGATTGAATTAGAGAAAAGGTATTTCTGTAAGCAACATGTACAACCCATCCCTTCCCATTTCAACAACTCCTTCCTCTGCCCTGAACCCACCTTGCCAATCTCAGCCTTAGGCCTGCGCATCTTTGTGGCGTCATATGCGCCAATAGGGGCCAACCCCTTCATGCACTACATGAGTGCGGACTACCAAGTGTCGTCCAACGAGCCCAATAAATGGCACATCAGTAGCTCCCACTCCTGGGACACCATGTCCTTCCTTGGCTGGCCTGTGAAGAACCAGAAGAGCTGCAGTGAGTGGGCATGGTTAGAATGAATAGCGGGTACAAGGGAAGTTAGACTTTTCCACCCACAGAGGCTATGGTGTGTTGTGATTTTGAAGTACTATTAGTAGTTTTTTTTTTTCCCTATCTTCATCCTTCAAAACACTACCTTTTTCCAAATGCGAGTTGGGCATATGCAATGGTGGCAAGTTTGGAGGCGGCATATGGCATTGGGCTGAACCACGGCTGTCATTGGACTCGCTCTTTGCAGCCATGGGGCTCACCTCCCCTGCTGCCAAGTGCACCAGAGGGAACTCCCTTGCTGCGGCCTTTGAAAAGCTCCTCACTCTACCACGTGGTCAGGTTCGGAAGCCATATTGTATCACTTCATTTTTTTCGATCCTTCTGGTCTCTTTTCTTCCATATCGTCTTGTCTGTAATATAAACCTAATCCAAGTTCTTATTAATGGTTTGCCTGCATCTATTATCAAGCAAGGATGCATAATTGTGCTAGGTAACAAAGTTAGAGGCACGTTCACACTTCTCAGAGAAATCCACATCTGCCATTCTAATGATCTTTGTGGCCAAAGGAGCTACAAGGGCGTCGGGGACCTGCAGCCAAGCATGAACCCGTGCGGTCACTTAAGATGTAAGCCAAACACAAAGACCAAGAGAAACACCTGCAACTGCACCATACCTAACCAGGCCATAGAGCCCTTTGTTGCGGTGGCAAACGGATTGGGCACCCACACGTGCACATATGGTGAGTCATATTTATGACCAAACAATTCCACTGAAAGCAACCATTTGGAGGTTTTCGTAGATGCAGATGCACCCATGGCATGTTTCTGCAAGTCCACCTTTTTTGTCAGCATCTCTTACATCGCATCTTTCACCACCCATGTTCACCCCCTATCATCAACTAAACACTTGACGTGTGCAGTTCTTACGCTATGAACCCCTGCGGTGTGGGCAGGTGCGTGAATGATGGCAAGGGCGCCTACTCCTGCATCTGCCCTCCCAACTACATTAAGAGCACGACAGTTGACAACTCCTCCACCTGTGATCCTTGTACCGCCAATCTAGCCTCACTCACTCATATGGCCCTCTTGACTGATCAGTACATTTGATAGAGTATTATAGGTTGGTTGCTATCCCAGCAAGATGGACAATTTAGAGGGATTGTGCATATCAACAATCGTTCAGTATAGCATCACCAAGCTTCAGATAAGCTCATGTGCACCTTCTTGGCACCATCTAATTCGTGTGTGTCTCCTTTTCTCACTCCAACCAACACCACGGCAACTACTTTGACGGTCACTGGTGCTAACTGGTGGTGCTCTGGCGTCCTTGCTACGACCGGCCTTTCCTTCGCTAACCTCCCAAAGCTAACTGTGATGAGAAATAGCTGACCATTTCACCGTAGTATATGGATTTGCCTTTGTTGGAAAAATTATCCAGCGCTCTAGGGAACAGTCGATACATAGGTACCATCCTCTATATGTAAAGTAGATTTTCAAAAACATACATCTTCTTGCATGGGCATGCCATAAAAACAAAAAACCCATTTTGCCCTGCAGGGAAATGGATATGGTAATAGGAGGTTGAATATGGAGACGTAGAAGGTAGACGTAAACGTGAGCCAGGCCAGGATCCGGCCTAGCTAAAGCTAGCCCTGGTTCCTAATGGGCTTGGCCAACTTTACTGACTGTTTGGACCATGGTGGGCCAGCCCCAGGCCAAGATCTGTGGTCCTGGGGTGTCCCTCTCCTTCATGAAATTTGATGTTTTCGCTCTACTTCCTGCTCTAGCAACCCATTCTTTAGGTCTCTCCACCTGCCTACTATCCTAGCCATCCAATTGGATGTCAGCTGTCCCTCAGTTGTCCTCAGGCCTTGTCAAAGTCACGAATAGGGTGGCCACAAGTGGCCTTTCCTCATTGGTCGGGCCACAAGTAGTATATCCTTATTTCTCACGCCGTGGCCCAACTTTCTCACATTCTACGGACAACCCCAGCCAGTTCCAGCATATGCTCATTCATAGGATGCACGGATGGATAGTAGCATACATTTGCATAGAACAAGGAACCCCTCCTATGTATTGCAGGCCGTTGATTGCAGCCAACCATTGCCTAAAGGCAAGGTGATTCAGTTGGGCAGCACTACCACAACTCCCTGCACTGCCTTCTTCTATACAATCAATGTGAGTCGTCATTTGTAAACAGAGATTCAGTGAGTTAAAGCTGTGTTGTTGTTGTGTTTCCCCCCCCCCCCCCCCCCCCTCAAAGAACACGTATCCGTCCAAAACTATGCAAGAAAGGCCACCCTTCTACCACCCATCTCTGACCAACACCACAGAACCCACCTGCAATGAATATCGTCAATTGTTTTCCTAGAAAATCCTGTCTCGGTGCACCGTTTCCCTTCAACAAGCACTCCTTTGCTCTCTCTCGCCCTCTCTCTCCTCCAGGGTGACAGCTGCTCGTCTATCAGCACCCAGCTTGGAATCTCATCGACTGATCTTATCTCTCTCAATCCCCTGCCTCGATTGTTCCGTGGCCATCAAGGTAAGCCACTCTCTGTGCCTCGAGCGCAACGCCACTTTTGCGTTCACCACCCCTAAGTGCTTGCAGTACGGCATGCTGACAGCACAGGACACATGCGAGGGCCTTCTGCAGCAGGCCTTGGAGTCTAGTGAGGAGAAACGTGATGGGCTGGTAGTGGTGACTGCAGCTAGCTGGGTTGAGCTCTACCGCAACAATCCTGGCCTCATCTGTCCTCGCACAGTTCTGTGAAGAAGTGAACGAGAGAATGGGAATGACTATGAACGAAGTGAGTACAAATAGGAAACCCTAATTGGGTTGTACCCCCTATGGGATACCCCACTATAGCCTACAGAAACAAGAAAGCTATATGTTCTGACACACCCCCATAGGCAAAGTGGGGGAGAACAAGGGGTCACAAGTCCAGTCAAGCAAAGCAAAGCAAAGCTCAGGGTGGATCACAAAGTCACCACGCA